GAACCAATGCAATGCTTGGCACTTCTAATGTGTACTTTAGTTTTAAAATACTTCTAACAGAAGATGAAATGCTTCAAGATAAATGCTTTTTTTTTTTTTTTTATATATAAAATGTTTCCAAGGTTCAGTTTCCTTCTATTTTTCCACCAGAGAGAGACTGGAAATGTAAAGAGAAAATGCTGGTCTTCATCTGAAAAGTACTTGTTGCTTCAATATTCTTTGTACACACCAGTGATATCATTTATACCAGTTTTAAAAGTTATAAATCAATGGTATTCTCTATCAGTTAACTTGATTTCTGTTGCCTAGGTTGAAACACAAATGACTCATTCAGAGAGTCATGGCAGGAGTGATAACCATCAAAAAACCCACTTTAAGTGCCTATCTACACAGGGAAGTTATAGCAGAAAAAGCTACAGTATGAATGGTGAATATACTTATTCCATGCCACACATCCACACTGCACAGCACAATATGATGTAGCTCTAAATCAAAGTAGCTCAGTTAATGGAAACAGTATCATTGCATCCAAAGGGTAAATTATTCTGGGCAGAGCACCAAGCTAATAGGGCTGTACTACTGCCAAAGAGGAAGTTCTCTTACAGAAGCCCTCCAAGGCCAAAGGAAAAGGAAAAAAAGGGATGCTGTCAAAACCAGAAAAAGACCTTATTTACTTTACTTTTCAATTCCTTGAAGTGTTTTTATCTTCTTCCTATATCTTAAATAAAAGATTTTCAGTAGTGATTGCCATCTGCACTGTTTAAGGTTTCAGTACTCAAAATGTTAAATCAGCTTCAACTGTTTAATGCTGAACAGTGACTGGATCACACTAGCACCTCCAGGACCATTTATTCCATCCAAACTAAAGTAACAATGTTCTAAGGCCACCCGGTGCTTGAAGGCTTGAGATATGGAAAATGTATCCTAAACCAAGCCATCCTTCTCATATTGAGTAAAGAATGATTCTTCGTACTTGCGGCAAAATCAACTCCTAAGGCTCCCCAACAGCTGGATGATTTTCATCTGTAAGGATCATTTTATTTGCAAAACTCATAGCCTGTCTGCTCTACCAATCCTCTTCCCGTGCTGATGCATCTTGCATAACTATAAACTGACTGAATGGTTGAATTGATCTTCATCATACCTCTTGGCAGTTAATTACAGCTTTAATTCACAAAGCAATGGCATCTTGGAGAAAGTGAAAGAGAGGAACCACCTCTACCAAAGCCTTTATTTCTTACTGTGCATCAAAACTTATTAATGAGCATTTAGACATCAAAAACCAGTTAAAAGGTGCATACTTCCACTATTTTCAACAATCTCTTGTGTTTGTTGGTCCAAGGCATTCCCAGCCAAGTGCGGGAAAGAGGGCTGCCAGAGTGGCCGGCAGAAAATATATTGTAAACAAAGTAAAACTGCACGTGCATTGACATTAGCAGATACAACAGAAAGTAACTGAGGATTCATACATGCAGATTCAGCACATTCACATATCTCACACCTCGTACTGCAAATTTCTAGAAACTGGTTTTTACACTTTTTATAGTAAAAAAAAGCCAAATTTCACATTCATAGTATTCACAGTTATTACAATTAATAAGGAGTATTAGTAAATAATAATTCTTCCTATGGCTACATTTTTATTAAAACATAGCACACAGTTTTGTACTTATTTTGAGACCTTTGAACTTCAGACTCAGGAAGGGAGGATAAAACTTTAAAAGAAAAATTATATCCAAGGTCTCTTTTCCAGCTCTCTTAACCAAACCCTAACTTACTGGTAAGAAATATTTAAAAATGATGGCCACTATACAATTACCAGAGCAGCTCTGTGGTACTCTGTGTGGCAGCAATGTAACTGAAGACTGGAGAGAGCAGAGCATTGGCCAAGTGTGAGGTCTTGAACCAGTAGGGCAGAAAATCTTTATATCTACACGGATAATCAATGAAGAAAGGAAGAAACTGCAAATAACTGGCAGTTAAATGCAATCTTAATCTATCTCGTTGCAAACTGTAAATAAGAGCTAATAAAAGTAATGTGGAATCCCTATAAATACCAATTCCATTATTCTTAGTTTTTAAAACACTAGAATTCATTAATAGTCAACAGATGTCTTCTGAACAACACTGAAATTAAAAGGGTCAGCTATAAAAATTTTAGAATTAGCTTTGGAATGCAAAATTTTTGCTAGTTCTGTTCTTCTAACCCACATTTTAAACATTCTATAATAAATCAATCCTTAAACTTCTTAAGTAGTAATGCGTGACTTTTCCTGGATTTACTAAGCATGTTTAAATATTTTTAGAAGACATGATCAGTGAAGAAAGTAGTTAGCTCTCCAACAAACCAGCTGTCACAAGCACATTCTTTCTTCAACCTGTGGCTTTAGCTAAACATAAAGGCATGCCTGCTGTGAGAACTACTTTTCTGCTATGTCCTAGAAGAACGATGCAAAGGTACAGCATGGCAATGACAAGGGCAGTAGCAGGTATCTGGCATGAAAGGTCATGAAACATAAAGAGAAGGAAGGACAGCTGGTAAAAAGGGAGAAGGGAAGTGAGGAAACATTTTTTTTAAATCTATTTTTAACATCTCTGCTTAATAAAAGTTTAAAATCAAAAGCATTACCCTGCCATCCAAGCAGCTGGAATTTCAGAGGATTATTCACTACAGCCATCCTTCCTTTGTTCCCAGTCCCCCATTTGTTCTTTTAGTGACAATTATCATTTGTGTGCAGAAAGAACTACATATATGAAGTGCTACCTAGTAAGCAAAGAATATTGTATGTCTCTGCTTTAACAGCTATGTATTTCCTTCCAGTAAACACTGAATACCACAAGTCTTATTGCCAATATGCTTATTTGTACTCATTAAATAATGCTCAACTATTCTAATATTTACATGACATATTGCCATACTCTATATCACACTACCAACAGTCATCTTCTCTAGCCAGTCTGAGATGACACTAATCCTTACTGATAAGAAAGAGCTAAATGCTCATTTACTGCATCTAATTGAAAAAGATGGTACAGGATTCTATTTCTTGCTATGGAACTGTCATATATTGCACCTCAAAAGAAGTAAAGTTTTCTGTTCTTCTTTAGGAAATGATGGCTGTAGCTGTGACTGACATGAGAAATAAACCAAGGAAGTAAAACATGAAGGAAGGAAGATAATTTGAATATTGGTGCTGAATGCAGCTAGTTGTGACATTACAAGCTGAAAGTAAAGGTTTAGTTTTGCTTTGAAATTACTTTTGTTCAAAATGGTAAAAAGGCTGCACACCACTGGAGACTGGCTTGTGGAGACTGTTTCAGAACAGAGAATTTCAAGAATCCTTTGGCCTCTGATATACAACTCCTTTTATTTAACATTGTCTAATTGAAGACATCTGTAAGTGGTGCCACACAAAATTTAATTCAAGCTTCAAAACGTCAATAAAAAGTGTCTGTAAGAAAGAATACTGGCATAACCTAGTAGAGAAGTGTACATCAGCATCTATGTAGCCATACAAAATTAGGAATATAATGGAAATCTGCTGCCTGACTTGACGAGGTGATAAAAGGCCTTTTCCTATAAAGTGAAATGAGCTCTATTAGTCTTCAGCTTACAGGAATGTAAAGGAGGTCAACTCAACAGAGAAAAGTAACAATCTCTCCACACATGGCTTCATTCAAACTGCAACATATCGAATTACTTGTGTAATTACAAAGACCTGACAATTTCATTACAGTCACGTGGGAGTTAACTCTTTAGGACCGACAACAAAGACAGTACCACATTTTTTTCTTCGGACACTGTGTACTAGAAATGAACTGATTCCATATCTTGGTTTAAGCCATCAACTCCAGATAAAATAAAGAAAAAAGGAACAACAAAATTAAATGATTTTATTCATTATTTTTCACACACAATAAAATACATTTTAATGCAAGCTACATTTTAGCATATATTTTTCTGCAGAATTTTCTTGAGATAGAATTTACTGTTTGATCGTTTCTACTAAACTTTCTACTTGACAAAAAACAATTCAGGGAATGACATAAAATGTATAATCATCTTCCTCCACATACCCCAACTCACCCACGATTCATTCCCTCTCTCTCTCGGCCACGGCTAGCTGTGTGCAGATACCACAGCCAGCAAAAACAGCAAGATACACCTTCAAAATTAGTGATCATATAGGATCATAAGCATAGGAGTAAAACACAGATCTTGGAGTTCTTAAGGCCCAGTAGGATGGTTTGGCATGTACACCTCAACTTTAAACAAAATGAATCTTGAAAGAGTTAAAAAAAATAGATAAAATCATATTGCAGGGACATAATAATGGATGAAGGTAAGCAGAGTAAGATGTGAGAGATTACCACATCTTTGCAAAAGCAGCAGAGACAGTGACTAATTTACTTTTTGTACCCCCTAAAAAAAATCTCTCTCTCAGTTCTAGTAAGCTATGGAGGGAGGAAGGGTAGGAAAGTAGAGGACTCTGGGATACTGGGTGTCCTCAAAACCTGAGAGAAACAAACAGCTATTCAACTTCATGCAGAAGGGGAAAAGTTCTTCATGTTTAGAAGAGCTAGAAATGTCTTGCAGAACAGCCATTTTTCTTCTGCAAGAAAGCCCTCAGATGGCTATGTGCTGTCTCTCTGGCTTTTCTCCTGGCACAAAATGTAATGCCAGTACATGGCCAGAATCAGAATTAGTTCAAAGGACAATAAACCACAACTGATAAGCATTAAATCAATCTCTTTAAAACAACATGTACACATTCCCTCATTGCTAATTGGCCAAGGAGGTGGCGGCTCCATTCCTCACTGGCTGAGGGGGCTGATGCCCCCCCAAGAGTATGTCCTATATTCTGGGGATGGGTCAGTGGCCACCCCAATACTAATGTATGTATACTGTACATTTTTTACAGAAGGTAGGAGAAACAAAAAGATGCACCAGTCTAGTATTAAGCACGTTTGATATTTTAGACTTAATATTAAATTCTTACCTCAAGCGGAGAGTCACAGAGGAATCTTGTGAACTGCATCGGTCGGAAGAGTTTGCCAGAAGCACAGTCCGAAAGGATGATCAAAACAAACAGAATACACAAAACAAAGAAACAATAAATTTGCATACAATCATTATTATTTGCATGAATTAATTATTTTTCAATTACTAATAGTCTATGCAAACTCTAAGAATATTAGATCTTTTAAAGCCTATAAGTGAAAATAAATTAGTTCAATTAATTACAACATTTTTTCTAAAAACATACTACACATCTTGCCTCCTAGTTCTGAAAAAAAATAAATTACAAATTAATTTTACAGGCCCATACTAAGAAGAACTGAACAAGCTACATAAGATTATGGACCCATAACACAAAATTTGCTTCCAAGTTATTCCTATCCTAAGTTCACACTCCACACAAGTTTGAAGTCTCTGCTCTCCCTTCCCTCCCCTCCCTTGCTTCATCTCTCTCCAAGCTCCTCAGTCACGGCATGGCATTTCCTACAACCCCACTGGCATTTTTCCCATCACCAGAGCTGGGGTTGTTAAGCCTTATCTGCTGGGAGATTGGTTAAGTATAACACCACAGATAAGTGTGCCGGCTTAATTCCATGAAACACCAACATCCTGAAAGTGCAAGCAAGAGTCTTTCTTCAACATATATAGAAGTGTTATAAATAATCTACAGGAGAAATTCAAAACAGCAATTCTGATTTTGCTCAAGGTAGTAAAATACTAGAAAAATGCAATTATGTGATTTACCTAAAAGCTATTCATTTGTAAATACAAGCATGATTTTTATTATGTGGAAGTTGCCAATATTTTAAAAGTACAACAAAATGTCTGTTATGCCCAACTATGTCTTTAAAAAAGTACATATTTCTTTTATTCGTTTTTTAACAGCTATTAGATGCTGCCAAGTTTGATTTACTCCCTAATGAACTTATTTCAATTGATATATGCTATGGAGGAATTCTTCCTTAAAAGAAATATATGTAAGTAATCATCTGATAGATCATTTGCTGCAGACATTTGTTTGCTTGGAACAACAGAGTAAAATAAGCACCAAAAACAAAAAAAAATGTTGCTCATACTGCCAAGATATAAAATACCTCAGCACAGCTGACCTCAGAACCAATATATATATATATACTAAATATTAACTTTCTCTTGCTTATGAAAGTCCACATTCATTCACCAGAACTACTATAAAACAGATCATTTAAAAATTGACTCCAGCTCCTGGAAACTGCATGGATCTGCAATATATTAACTGAAGAATCAATGGAGTAGTACCAACTGAGTACTAAGTCATAACCTAGTATTTAGATATATTAAAAAAGACTGATTCTAAAATAAAATGACAAAATGAATCAAGAGCATAAGAGAAGTCAAATTTAAGGTTTTTCCTAGCCCACTATTTTTAAGTTCTCTTTCAAATACACAGTAATATCTAGTTGAGCTACAAGTGAATGGTAAATATTTGGACGTGCTTTATGGAATAAAAAGGAATTTCTACAAGCAGCTGCAGAGGACAAGGGATCTTGTGTGTTTTCTATAATTAGCCCTTTCAGATTTACTCACAACTAAGGTGTTTGATACCCTGAGTACCTTTGAGTTTTATTACAGGAGCACAGGAAAATGAATGGCTGTAATATTCTAATTCCATTTCTCATTCCTGAAAAAAGCAAATATTTTAAATTTTCAAAAGAGTTAGTCAAATGAGGCGCACTAATTATAACGAGAGAAGAGATTTATAAATTCCTACATTGCTTGTCTATTTTTTATGACCTCAGTATCAATCATTATGGCCAATAATTTTAGAATATTCTGGCACCAGAAAAAAAATAAACCATATGTTACTAATTTTGATGTCAGAAGACGCCCAATAGCTCTAAATCTGTAACTCTAGCTTTATAGTGCAAGTTATACCCTATGGGTGAGTAAGCTGAGCCAATGATGCTTTTCAGAAGTTTTAGTGATTCTCAAGTCCCTGTTGTGCAAGTCCTTTGTTTTACTATAATAAAAAGATTTTCTAAATCGAAGTCTTAAAAGTTTACATAACCATAACTTTCATTTGCCAGAGTGTATGTTGTTGCAGCTTTCTATAAAGTTTGTCAGAAATGCACTCTCACTAAAACTGCTACCCACTAGTTTTGTAAAGTCAACTTCCAACAGAATATTGAAAAAAAAAAGGAAATAGCCTTCCAGCTGGAAAGAAACAATAATCTGGAACCATTTCACAATCTTTTGAGAAACTATTTCAGATCTTCTACTTGATTTCTTATCTAATCGCTTTTATTTTTTCTCCATTTATGCTTGTTACCATTCATCTGCCTAAGTGTACATTTGCTAGTTTAATTTTCTGGGCATTTCACATAAGAAAACGAAAGCTCTTACAAAAGCAAGCAACTAATTATTGCAGAGAGACCTACAGCTCTGGTATTCTAAAACGTTATGAACTCCATATTTATAATGTCAAAAATCAACAAAACAACTGCTCATTACAATCCAGGAACATAAGCCACAGTAAGTAAATTTAAAGGAGTTTAGTTTCTGCACTTATTGGATACTTTTTAGATTGGCTTTCCTTATTTCCTACATATAATATTCAATTAATAGAAACAAACTATTGTTTCTATTAATTGAAACGAATACAAGTACAAATTAAACTTCCCCCATCGTTATGTTTCATCAGCAAAAAAGAACATCACAAGAGATGTATACAGAAATATCTACACCTGGCAGTCCGGCACAATACAAACTCCCTTTCAATCTATTTTACTAAGAACATACCTAAAAATAAAGAGCACTGTGAACTGTAATCAGTGTACACAAAAGTGATAGAACGATTGTGTAGTGTTTTGGCACCAGTAGGACTTGTGAGAGATAGCAAAGGTATTAGATTTTCACTCAAGACCATCATCTCCTCTTCAGTTGCACAGAAAGTGTAATCAAGCTGGCAGAACTGGTAGCTTTGCAAAAACCTGATTGAAAGAAAAGGTCTAATGCGGTGATTCTCAACCACACAGCCACAGCACCCTGGTATGTACTAAGATCCTTTTAAAGATGCTGCAGCATGCTGCAAAATACTAGTGCCATTTGGTTTGCAAACACCTACACATGAATCATAAGATACTCGGATATTTCAAACCCCTTGGGCACATCTGCACAAGTCGCTATGGCACAGTGGTTACTGCACATTTATTTAGTACCTGTATAAACAAGTACTAAATAAATGCGCAGTAACTGGAGCTACTGCGCAGCAGTGCCAGTGAATGCCTTTTAAGTGACGCTACTGCACAGTAACCTAAAACTACTGTTCTATAGCGTCTTGGCACGGTTTTTGCCACGTGACGCTACTACTGCGCAGTCAGCATCTTGTGCAGACGTGCCCAACAGTGTCAAAAATATTCTGCTCTGCTGTGATCTTTCAGAGTTCTTTATACCAGAAGACCGAAAGCTAACAGTTGACATTTTCCCAAGAGTGCTTTGAGTCTAACAAGGTTGAGAACCACTGCTCTGTCAGCCAGAAATGTGCAACTCAAAATTGATTTTCATGTCTCACAAAACAATTGTGTACACATTTATAATGCACTGCTATAAACTGGGATATAAATATGGACCAAGTCTACAGCCACTTATTGAAAGAAACTACCTAGCTTGAAAGTATTTCTGGACATGCTTTGATCAATATACACTATTAATTTTATTCCCAAACCAAGTAATTTTTGGTCTTTTTAAAAGTAAGAACACACACTTATGAATTCAATGCCATGTTTATTCATTTTAAAGAAGCTCCTTAAGGGCCTGGTGAATTTATATCAACCCATTTGGAGTCCTGAATCTATAGGATTTTAGTTGGATCCATACCGGCCTCATGGGAAGATACCCTTTGCGGGGGGGTTTTTGCTATTGTTGGTACCAACAATGTTTTAATAACAGAAAGTTTTACATCATTTAAAAGCTACATGGAGTCTTAAGTACACTGGCAAGAACTTTTTATAAATCCATCAAATTTAGAGGTGCCACACAGCTAGATAATAGCAGAGGAAAAAAGTGAACAAGGCAGCTACAAACTTCTGGCGCCAGTCTCAATAATACACAAAGTCCTAGAACAAATTTTGAAGAAAAAGATAATTAAAGTTGTGGAAGTAAGTGGAAAATGAGATTAAATGCAACACGGATTTGCCAAAAACATATCATTCTAATTTACCCTGATCTCCTTTTTTTTGCTAATTATTTTTGTATTAGGAAACCACCGTTAAGTCCATCAGAACCCCAAAAACAATTTGTTAAAGTGTTATATGAGAAATTCTACATTTAACTGGAGAAGATGAGGATTAGTACAACCTGCAACTGGATAAGGAAACAACAACAGACTGCGTGAAAAAAAAAGGAACCGTGTAGCTGGATAAAGGTTACTAGCAGAGATTTTCAGAGACCAGTCTTATTCGATATTGCTCATTAATGACCTTAACACAAAAGTAGGAACTTTTTCTGTTAAGTCAAAGTTGGGAGGGATCAGCAGCATGGAATATCATATAAAAAAAACAATTATATGACTGAAAACTGGCATAACAAAAAAGGGCTAGAAGTTAATAGTATAAATGGCAAGATTGCATGCTTAGGAATTAATATGAATTTCTGGTGTATGCTAGGATCTAACTGGAAACAAACAGAAGAGAAAAATCTCTTAACTACAGACGGATGTTACATAAACCACCTATGTGACACCTTGTGAAAAGACAAGAACATGTATCAAGTTCTTAGCCATCATATTACTAAACTTCTGGAATAGCCTTCCAATAGGACTAATGGGAAAGAAAACCTAACTAGTCTTCAGATGGACCTTGATAAATTTATGAATGCCGATCTGACATGGCTGCCAGGAGTAGCAAGGGAGAGGACTTGACAACCCAAGAGGTTCTTAAATGTCTTGTTCCTTGTCACATTCGTTCATTTGGTTCTTGGGACGTCATTTCACTGACCTGTGGTTCTACAGCTCAAACAGACAAACTAAATTTGAAA